TCCTCCGATTTTTCTCTCCACATTTAGAATCAACGTGCATTTACAGTATTTGGCTGCTGTAAATTTCCACATGATAAGCCAATTTATCGGGCTATCATTTGTGGCCAGGTAGACGAGGTCTATCGGTATAACTCGGAGCAGATGTGAAATGGTAGAATATATGGAAAGACTTGTAAGTGTCTGGGATTGAAGATCAAACTCAGCATAGCGTACTCTTTGTTGTTTTGTAAAGTCACGTAGGTAAAAGATTAAATAAAATAAATGAAAACAACTAAATTAAATCACGACGTTTTGGGCGCAACCCAAGCGTCCTTCTTCAGTTGGGGACAACGTAGCAAAAGCACAACCGCTTAAGTGTGTAGACACACTTTTACCTACGTGTCTTTACCGAAAAAAACAAAGGGTATGAATCCTTGCAGTCACGAAAGCTTCAGCATAGCGTGCTGATTCGTAAGTTGAACATCCAGGAAAATACTCAACGTTTGAAGACCTCAAGAAAAATCACGGTGAAGAGGCCCCTTTGTCTGCATAACTCCACACCACTCCTCACTCAAGAGGCCTTTATCAGCAAGGTCTTCAATCATGTCTGGTAAGTTTTGTCAAATTATTTGTATTTATGAGTTAAAATATGCTAACTTATAATATGGATTTTTGTACACTTCATGACATATCGGCTAGGAACGCGACCCCTGATTGTAACATGGGAAATTATAGTTTGCCTGATGAAATAATTTAGAGTTAAGTAGCATTTCCAAGGAACGCATCCATTACGTATAGCGGGGGGGGGGGGATTCCAGTATTGTGCTTGTACCACATGCGTGACATGTGCGTGCTTTTATGGTGAACCGATGAGGACGGTGATGAAGATTGGTTTCTCACATTCGTTCAGAGTCTCCATGCCCGCTGGGCATTTTGGACAGCACCAGAACAAGGTGCCCTGCTTTGAAAATTTCGTGATGTTCTCGTCCTTCTCACAGCCACACCTGTGGCGAGTTAAAGAGACACAACCAGGGGGCATGAGTGCCGAACGGCTTGGATACTTCTATAGACTGCGTAAGCCGATAAGATGGCATGTATAGACTATTAGCGAGCACCTATAAAGGGTGGCACGGCATATTATAGCTACACACACACACACACAAAAACGTGCGCTCACACACATATATGTTCTCATAATATGATTATTTATGATCTTACACATACCTTGTGTTCCGAGTAGGTGTGCAGTTCTCCATCTTCACCTGGTGTAACCCTACAAACGACACAGACATATTTTAAAGGTTTTATTCTTCAAGCATGGCGTGTAAGTTCAAGATTAATAATTGATTTATTGTGCTAGATTGAGCTGGTAAAATGTCAATTAGAGGTATGCATGCTCCACCAACTGGACACAGCCAAACAGGCCAAATTGTCATCTGGGGCGCGAATACCAATGTATTTACGCAAATTCTAAAAATTATGAGTCCACCATCACTCTGACACGGCTGCACATGTGGCAAAAGGTGTTAAGTAGGGGTCTGAAATAAGCCCCCGCCCCCACACCTCATAAAAAAGTCACATCAGGGTGTAATAAATGTCACGCCTCGGTACGATGGCTGCTTAGTAGTCGAAAGGATTTGACGTGGATAGGAAAGGCAATGCTGTGAATCCTGATTGTATTATTTGTGTTTTAAGGTATTTTTGCTTGCTTGATGGTCGTATGAGTAAATGTGACTGGTTGTTGTGAGTTTGTCCTTGTTTCTTTGGTAATGACATTGATTTGGCTATGCGATGTCTATTTGTGATGGAACATCCTGTCATACTGCGTAATAGTGGTACATCCTTGATGGTTTCAGTCACCATGTATTCATGTCCTCTGCAATTAGTGTATTGTAACTCTCATAGGTGCTGAGCCTCGTGTTCAATCACTTCATTCCACTCGATAAAGGTTACAGTCACTGTGAATATGGGGTGGTTACGTCGATTGACGACAGCCTATAACCCAAGCGTCATGGTGAGGTTATTCGAAGGCGGTTTAATTGCGGCAGGATCGCACTGAAGACCTAGGTGTAAAATACACGGCCCGCCACTGCTAATAACCACATGATACACTATTGTAAAATTAATAACATGGCGTGTGTCAAACTCGGATGAACTATTGTAAATTCACCTGGAATGCAGCGCATGCAGTATTCGCATCTGGGGTAAATGTTGTACTCCGAGTTGTAGGTGCCCTCAGGGCATGGCTGGCAGTCAGTCGGCGAGTCCGCGGTGCACCAGGCGGATCGAAAGTGTCCTGTCACCCAATCACGAACATGGACACTCATGCAAAATGACGTCTGTTAGCGCCTGTTCATTTTTACAACTTGATGGTACACCGTGGCTGGCCATACGAAGGATAGCAACGATTGACAATGTACGGTGTGAAAACTGTTCAACACGCATGCAAGATTGTTCAAAGTAGGGTACCCATGTTAATCTGAGCCTACAGAAAACTAGCATTAGTCAACAAAAACGTCAATATCCACAGCACCTAAATGCAATCGCATCAAAAGTCCCAATACAATAATAATTAAAAAAACATGAACATTAGAGCTTGTTGTCGAGGTTAATGCGTTGATGTTGGAGGTGTTCAACATGCACAAAGAGACATTGGGGAAGGGGAAAATGTCCAGAAGATTTGAGGTATCAAGGGCCGACGGTAGAGTGTCAGATGGGCTACCATTCATTAGCATTATGCCATGGCCAGGAAGTTTTTTTTTAACAAGGGTTTCACGAAGCATGCTTACTGACAATGCAAGAAGGGGAGAACATTTTGCGTGAGAGGGACAGTAATGCAATTTGGAAATTGGCCACTTAAGCATTGGTGTGTACCACAGTTAATGGTGCTGTAGCGTTGATGATTCCCCCACCTCCATGTATCACGGTTGGCTATGTATGGTGCGAAAGAAGTTCAACATTCATGATCGGTTTTGTTTCTAAAATTATTTTGATTTCTTACCAGAAGGACATTGATCACAGCAGAGGCCATTCAGTTCATATTGCGTGGAGCGATTGCAAAATCCTTGTGCCGTATGCACTCCTCCAATCAAGACACACAGCGCCTGGTTTGAGAGCACACACAACGCGTACACGCAGACATAAACATAAATGGTGGTGACGTCACCATGGTGCATGTGCCAGGCCAGGTGCACTTTGGGGAAAAGGGGAATTGTCAACGTCTCGCTAACAGGAGGTCACGGGCCAGACCTAGGTGCCATGGGTTGACTGAGATGATTGGAGGATGCACCAGCTGTGCCCCATACTGTGCCAAATAAATGCATTTTAGCCGCCTGGCGCTCTGATCTATGTGCGCGTCACTTCTCTGCCCTCCGTTGTTGTTGGAGGGCGACTGCCTCCAACTGCCCAGCAGCGTCCTTCACGAACTTCCTGTTCCACAGAAGATTATTTTGACACCGCTGGTACTAGTCTTCGGCAAGTTACCAGCACCACGCCCAGCTGCCTTTGTATCCCGAGTGGTGATGCTTAAAAATTACACCAGGTACTTATTTGAGGCTTAGTTGACCTAGGTGAGGCCCAGGACCAGTTCAGATAATCTTTACTCGTGTTGACCATGAGCGGGAATCGAAACTTTTTATTTTACCAGGTAAGGCCCATCTATATATATAAAAGTCAATAATTGCGTGTGGGATTTTGGCGGGGGTTGTGTGTGGGTTTCTGTGTGGTCACGCGCTTGGCTCTCCAACGGTGGGGTTTACGTAAACAATTAATAGCCAGGTACCACGCCGTAAGCCCCGCGGTGAGCCCAGCGCTATTCCTTTTTCACATCCGCCAACTTTAAATACGTTTAATTAGTGATTTAGTGTGATTTTTGTGGACTTTCCATTTATTTATTTATGACGCGTGCACGGCCATACCAACTCACGCGCCATTGGTGGGAGGGACGGCCCATGCCAAGTCGCACGCCTTCAGTGGGAGTGAGGGGGACATTTTCTCTCGTGTTAAACATTCTATAAAATACACTAAACGCTGACGTTAATTTTTCACTGATTGACGTCCCTCCCACCCCGATGCGTGCAGTTATTACTACTATACAGTCGCTAGATGCTACCACTATAGGCCGTAGATATTACTGCAGAGCGGCCGGGGAGATCGTGGCTGTGGGGGGGGTGGGTCAGGGGTAGCAGCCCAGCCCCAGCCTGCCAAGGTGCCACCTCGGCCGGCTGGACAATCTAGGCGAGGCCGGAGGCTCTGCACGGGACTAGGCCTCACCACGCCACTCTGTCAGGTGAGTACTTTGTGCTATACAGTCGATAAATACTGCTATAGAGTCAGCATGTACTACTGTAGTAATAGCAGGTACCACCACAGTCGGTATGCACTGCTGTAATCATAGCAGGTTCCACCACAGTAAGCACTGCTGTAATCATAGCAGGTACCACCACAGTCAGTATGCACTGCTGTAATCATAGCAGGTACGACCACAGTCAGTATGCACTTCTGTAATCATAGCAGGTACCACCAGCCAGTATGCACTGCTGTAATCATAGCACGTACCACCACAGTATGCACTGCTGTAATCATAGCAGGTACCACCACAGTCAGTACGCACTGCTGTTAGATTTTTAAGAGTAGTTTTGAAATATTTTTAAGACCCGGGCAATGCCGGGTACTTTCCTCTAGTTGACCTATATGGCTCTTTTTCTGAAGCAACCTGGCCACAAATGATCGCTCAACGAAGTGGCTTATTGCGTGGTAATTTAAAGTGGCCAAATAATCTAAACGCACGTTGATTCTATGGAGGGGAAAACTGGAGGTCCCAGAGAAAAATCCACTTGACCACCAGGGGGGTAGTGGGGGGGATTCACAAACTCCAAATACTGTATACAGCAGGCGCCAGGGTCGGGGTAGAACCCACGTGCTCCGGCTATCCAGGCGAACGAGATAACATCTCGCCACCGCGGCGCCCCAGACGTTCGCCTCGAGCAGCAGTGAAATGTTTATTCTGTCCGTATACTCACAGCAGTGAGGATGGCCAAATACGCCATATTGACTTGATAATTCTGTCCTGGATGACACACGCTTGTGCCTTGGAAAGAGTGCCGTGAGTGCCAAGGAAGAAGAACAGTTGGCTTCTGTAACTTGCTGTTGGGATCACGTCCTGCTGAATCCCAGCGTGATGATTATTTGGCTCGTTTGCTCGGCTGAGTTTTGGCTGGACGTTCATTGTAGTATTTGATCAATCTGGGCGCACTAAAAAAAGGACGGAAAAAAAATCTCAATGTTAGAACATTGTAGCCTGTTGGTGTGTGTACACCTGTGGTGTGTGTGTACACCTGTGGTGTGTGTGTACACTTGTGGTGTGTGTGTACACCTGTGGTGTGTGTGTACACCTGTGGTGTGTGTGTACACCTGTGGTGTGTGTACACGTTTGTGTGTACACTGTGTGTGTGTTATGGTGTACGTGTGTGTGGGGAGGGTAGTGGTTAGCGCGCCACGCTAAGAACCCAGCGACCCGAGTTCGATTCCCGCTCCCGGGCAACACCACCACGTGACGATTATCTGAACCGGTCTTGGGCAACCACTAGGTCGACTCAGCCTTAAATGAGTACCTGGTGTGATGTGTAAACATCGCCACTAGGGAGACAAAGGTGGCCGGGTGTGGTGCTGGCCACCCACACCCTCGTTTGCCCTGCCGGCCTTCATAGGTGCTCGCTAACACCACTTTCCCCTACAGTCTGTTAAGGCTATAAAGGAGATCCTTGTCTTTGGAGGGGAGAGGTTTGTGTGGATGAGACGGAGAGAGGGAGACAGTGGAGAGTGAGGAGGTGATATAGACTCTACGGGGGATCTTGCCCTGTGGTTTATCAAGGGTTGTCAGTGTTACAATTGATGTTTTATTACAAAATTATACGGTAATTTGTGTATCTCGTGTAACAAAAGTTGGAACATTTTAGGGCTGAAACATATCTCACATTTTAACACGGTAGTCAGTGGGAAAACGACGATCGTTTAACAATTGTTCACTTACAGAGCAATTTTCGGGAAGTGATCACGATACTGGCAAGATACTTCGCACGATGTAGCTGCTCACCCCGAGCTCTAAATGCCCTGAGAGTGGCATTGGCTTTGTGCTGTTCGCCTTTTGGCGTTCTATGGTCTAACACTGTTTGAGACGAGGCTCTAAAGAAAGCTGTCTTTGATATGGACCAATCAGTTTCAAAGACAATGCATCATACATTACCAGAGCATGATATTTGTTTGCATGTCCACAAATACGCCTGGTTAATGCAGACATGATTCCTTGCAAAGGGGTCGTCCATAAATTACGTCACGAGATTTTGGACGATTTTTGACCCCTCCCTCGTCACACGGCGTCACAAAAAGTCAGCCCCCCCTCAAATATGACGTCACAAAGCTCTGCCCCCCCTCCCCCAACATTTTTTTTTAAACATGCTTCAAATCGCTTTAAACTATTGTCATTGTAGTGCGTATTTAATGTGGCGCTGCACTCCGATGTTGTAGGAGAAAACATTTATTAAAAAGTCTATTTAATGAAGTAGAACGTTTTGATTTAAAGCTTTCGTGACTGCAGAGATTCATATTATTGGTTCTTTCGGTAAAGTCACCACCACGTAGACGGGAAACAATAAAATAATAAAAATATAAAACAATACAATTCTCACGACGTTTCGATTGCAACACAAGCAATCATCATCAGGTGTGAAAACCACAGCAAGAAAATTTGAAAAACCGACACTTTTTTCAAATATTCTTACTGTGGTTTTCACACCTGATGACGATTGTTGCAGTCAAAACGTCGTGAGAATTTCATTTTTAATGTTTTTATTATTTTATTGTTTCCCTTCTACGTGACTTTACCGAAAGAACCAAGAATATAAGTAGAACGCGTTGTCTATATTTATTTAAAGTTGCGCATTTTGATGTGACGTCCCATTACTCGTCACAAATGTCTGATTCCCCCCCCTCCCCCCAGGTGCGTGACGTCATTTATGGACGGCCCCAAAAGGTTTCTGTTGTTTTACCATCTTAACACCTGTTTTATGGGCAGAAAGGGTAACACCAACAAAGTTAAAACCAATTATTATATTTTGATACTGGCAAGAAGGTCCCGTGATGTATCTCGCTCGTTAATCGAGACACGCCTGCACAGCTAATGCTCCCCGGTTTTACCCAACGGGGGATTAAAGTTACGAGGGGCCTAAGTCTGGTAGGAGGGAAGGCCCTAAGAATGCATGACTACACATGGCGAAGAAAATGTGTAAACTAAGAAAGGCATTCGAATCAAGGTAAAAATTTTACCTCCGATCTGGACGGTTGGATTTGGTACGGTGCGATAGAAATTCAGCATACAAACGGTGGGACGGAGAGTCTTACAGGAGGGCCTACAACGCAGCCTAAGGCCTCGTTAGCCTGTGGGTTAATCCTGTCCAGCGTTTGTTTTTGCCGTGTAAGTCTGGCACAGCAAGCGAGGTGACTTGGGGCCATTAACAACAACCGCCATTGACCACTGAGTGGCGGTGACGTTACCACGCTTGTGCCAGGCTATGTGAACTTTGGGCCAATAACTTTTTAGGCTTGGCTGCTCTGTTTCTTCTTTGCTGACGACAATACCTTGTCAACACAATTGTTAGTTTTATTTTGAGTCAACATTGACTGAGTGACGGTAACTAGGACTACCCAACAAGACCAAAGATATCATGAGCCAATGATCAAGCCACTGCTGGATGAAATTCTCCAAAAAAGCAATCGCCATCTCCCGATCCTGCGATCTGGGGCTGTCCATAAATGACGTCACGCACCAAGGGGGGGGGGGGAGGTCAGACATTTGTGAGGATGTGTGACGAGGGGGGGTTTGAGAAATGTGACGTCACATCAAATGCGCAACTTTAAATACATATTAATTCAACAGAACTGTTATAACAACACACATTTTTTAAAATTAATTTTCATTATTGACTGTTTGATTATTCACATCTACTAAGGTCACCTTTTATTTATTCCATGAAGGAGCATTTTGCTTCCTCCATGGGAGAATGGAAAAGCATACATTTTGTAAAAAATTTTATGATTGTTATTAAACATTTTGAGTCTATTGATTCTACCAGGGCTTTTCATTCTGTGGAATGAATATGCGATCGTTATAATTGTACTCTCCAATTTGCTTCGTTCTACTACAAAGTTTCAAGTATTTTTTTGTATAGTTATAATTACTTTTTATATGTTATCATTATAAGAGAATTTCAACATAATATTCTGAACATCTGCAGTTTTAGTTAGACGTTGAATATTTTCAACTAAACTTTATGGAAAATTTCTGCTTTCCAACGCCTCCTTTTTAATAAATGTTTTCTCCTACAACATCAGAGTGCAGCGCCACATTAAATACGCACTGCAATGACAATAGTTTAAAGTGATTTGAAGCATGTTTTATTTTCCAAAATGGAAATATGGTTTGGGGGGGGGGGGTAGAGCTTTGTGACGTCATATTTGAGGGGGGTCTGACTTTTTGTGACGCCGTGTGACGGGGGGGGGGGTCAAAAATCGTCCAAAATCGCGTGACGTCATTCATGGACGGCCCCTCTATATTAATCCACGTGGTATCTTTTATCACTCTTTCGCCTCAGTGCCACTGCACTTTTAAATCTAAATTGAAAACTAATATCTTTATAACTGCTGTTTATGTTTCGTTTGCTGTCCTTTCCCCGCACCTCCGATTAGCGCGTTTGGCTACGTGCCAAGTTCAACACAGTAAATACAGCGGACTTCCTCTAAGGCTATAACAATTGGTTTTCCCTTCTTTGGTTCTTTCGGTAAAGTCACGTAGAATGAGAATAAAATAATAAATTGATAAAATAAAATAACACAATAATATGTATTAATAATAATAATATGTACGTGACTTTACCGAAAGAACCAAAGAAGATGAATCATTGCAGTCACGAAAGCTTTAAATCGAAATTGGTTTTCCCCTTTCTGGCAATAAAACAGGCATTAAAATACTCTTCCATTATTTCGGTAACGTCACGTAGGTATAAAATATACCTAGGTATAACATATACCTATGTGACGTTACCGAAACAACCAAAGAGTATGGATTCCTGCAGTCACAAAAGCTTCAAATGAAGGCGTTAAAATGTTCAAACACAAAACAGACACCTTTCTCAAGGAATCATGTCTGCATTAACCACACACGGCACTTGTTATGCACGTATGTTGAACTTCTTTCGCACCGTACATAGTCAACCGTGCTGATCGGAGGTTACATCAGCAAAGCAAACAGGCAGACAGTACACCTTCGTATTTTTGTCCGTCTACATAATAAATAAAAGTACTTTCTACACATCCGACGAGCCAAACGGCCTTTTGGGAGCGCGTAATTCCAGCAGCATTGGTTCAACGCAAGCAAACTCTGGATCGGTTTCGACATTGAGTGTCTCATCAGGATAGTCAGGCTGGCATGAACCAATGTTGGATGAATGCCATGTGGTTAAAGGCACGTCATACGTATTTCCAGTTACTCGTCTATCAATGACATTTGCTTGCCTACTTTCAATCAACAACATCAATTACTATACCACCGGTCGACCGCGGGTAACTTAATACACTCCCTAATAGTTAACGTTACTCTGTGACAATTAAACGCGCAAGTGGCAATGGATATAAAAGCGTGGGGGTTCATGGTCGCTCTTACCTTGTGAGGTTTAAAGCAAATTGGTAGACATCAACATATTTTGAATGTTCAGCGTTCGTGTTGTCCACCTACGCGGTGTCTTTATTATAGCGGGCAAAGGGTCTTCGAAGAAAACAACAGCAGCACCCGTTCGCCACAAAAGAAGCGGTGATGTCACCACGGCGCTTGTGCCAGGCTAGGTGCACTTTGAGGCCACGTGAAGCGTCGAAGGCTCGCCGACAGGAGGTCACGCGATAGATCCCAGGTGTTGTGAGTTGACTTGACTCGGAAGTCTGGCAGATTCACCACCCGTGCCTAGCTACTGACTTACAACAATGACGTCGGGTCTAAGCTACGGGAGGATGCGTTGCAGCGCTTTACGAATCTTGCGAGTGTGTGGAGTTATAGCCAAGTGCCACATTAGCTCGTCGATGCTTATATATTGACGTGTTGATGACGGGAACTTAAAAAAGCCACATTTCGAGGTGCACATTTGTGAACAGTCGGTCACACCCTGACCAAACATGCGTTGAGTGAAGGTCAGACAGATTCAATTAAGCTCCTTGAGGAATGTGAAAAATCTAAACTGGGTGCATATGTGGAGTGGGTGTGTAAGTGAGTGAGTGGATAGGTGAGTGAGTGGGTGGGTGAATGGGTGAGTGGATAGGTGAGTGCGTGGTTGAGTAGGTAAGTGGTTGGGTGAGTGGGTGGGTGGGTGGGCGAGTGAGCAGGTGAGTGATTGGGTGAGTAGGTGAGTGAGTAGGCGGATGAATGGGTGGGTGAGTAGGTGAGTGGGTGAGTGGGTGGGTTAGTAGGTGAGTGGGTGGGTGGATAGGTGAGTGAGTGGGTCGGTGAGTAGGTGAGTGAGTGGGTGAGTGAGTGGGGTGGTTGAGTGGGTGATTGGATAGGTGAGTGAGTGGGTGAGTAGGTGAGTGGGTGGATGAGTAGGTGAGTGGGTGGATGAGTAGGTTAGTGAGTGGGTGTGTGGGTGAGTGGGTGAGTGAGTGGATAGGTGAGTGAGTGGTTGGGTGAGTGGTTGGTAGAGTGGATAGGTGAGTGGGTAGGTTAGTAGTTGAGTGAGTAGATGAGTGGGTGGGTGAGTGGTTGGGTGAGTGGATGGATAGGTGATTGAGTGGGTGGGTGAGTAGGTGAGTGGGTGAGTAGTTGGGTGAGTGGGTGGATAAGTAGGTGAGTGGGTGGGCGAGTAGGCGAGTTGGTGAGTGGTTATGGAGTGATTGGGTGGGTGAGTATTTGAGTGGATAGGTGAGTGGGTGTGTGAGTAGGTGAGTGAGTGGATAAGTGAGTGGGTAGGTGAGTGGGTGGGTGAGGGGTACGTGAGTAGGTGAGTGGGTGGGTGAGTAGGTGGGTAGTTGGGAGGGTGGGTAGTTGATTGAGTGGTTGGCGTGGATATCTTTACGATATCTATCCCATAGATATAATTGCTCAACTTGAGCTATTGATACTTTGATAAGTGCATTCCCTTTGTACTGTTTATCCTGGGGCGTTCTCTGGGCTAACACTGGTAGCGAGACAAGGCCATGAAGAAGGATGTCTCTCGTGTAGCCCAATCAGTTTCAAAGACAATGCGTATATTATAAGAGCATGTTTGTATGTTTGCATGTTTTGCCACAAGTGTGTGTGGTTAATATACTTGATGATGCCTTGCAATAGGTGCTTATCTATTTTGTGTTTGAACATCTTGACACCTGTTTTATTTATAGCAAGGTTAAAACCTATTATGCATTTGTATAACGTTGATACTGGCAACAAGGTCTTAGATAGGAATATAGGTTTCACTAATACTGACTAGGGTTGTTTTACTCTATTATAATATTTGAATTAAAGCAGTCGCACATAATGATACTGGGTTTCTCAAGTAAAATGAATCCGTGGTCTGAGCCAAGACTTTAATAACTACTCATAAAAACTGGCATTAAACTTATACCTGCATAATTAAGCGCAGGAATTCAAACACAGTTGAGTTTGTATCTTTTGGCAAGACTGCTTGCAAGAGTTTGCCGAAGTTGTGTAATCGCAACACCTTTTTGGATGAGGCGAGTGTTCATGGAGCACTTCACATGAAAACAAAGTCAACCAGCACCATGAACACCCTATACGCTGCACCATGAACACTATACAAACCAGGTAGCTTCCGCAGGCGAGTCTAGCTAAAACTATCGGTGATCTCGAGAACAATAACCAGGTAATGTGCTCTCTTGAAAGCACAGAGCCAGAAATGACATTGGTCAGACATCTGCGATGACAGCACAAACATAAATGTACCATCACCAATGTGGGTGATGATGGGCCTGTGGTGACTTTTGGAGCAGTGTGGAAGTATTTTTTTTCCGGATGCGTGAAGTGTGCCTCCCACTTTGCTTGTAGTCGCGTTGCCAGCGAGCAGAGTGGAAAGTTGGTTTGCTGATTGGGATCGAAAATTACGTGCAGATATTCGGCGGACATCCAGTCAGTGAGGTCTTTACCGTCGGCCTGACCTACTGCACAGCCCCACATTTTGTGGTGGGTGTTAAGGTCACCAACGTATAGTGCTGGGATTGGTGCACTTGGCAGCCCAGGCTTTGGCCATGTTGAATTAGGGGCTTTGGACATGTTTGGTGATGTGCAGCTTCCCTATTTTGATGCTGGTGATGTACAGTGAGGGAAAAAGAATGTGATCCCCTGCTGATTATGTACGTTTGCCCACTGGCAAAGAAATTATAAGTCTATAATTTTAATGGTAGGTTTATTTTAACAGTGAGAGACAGAATAACAACAAAACTCCAGAAAAACGCATGTCAAAAATGTTATAAATTGATTTGCATTTTAATGAGGGAAATAAGTATTTGACCCCTCTGCAAAACATGACTTAGTACTTGGTGGCAAAACCCTTGTTGGCAATCACAGAGGTCAGACGTTTCTTGTAGTTGGCCACCAAGTTTGCACACATCTCAGGAGGGATTTTGTCCCACTCCTCTTTGCAGATCTTCTCCAAGTCATTAAGGTTTCGAGGCTGACGTTTGGCAACTCGAACCTTCAGCTCCCTCCACAGATTTTCTATGGGATTAAGGTCTGGAGACTGGCTAGGCTACTCCAGGACCTGAATGTGCTTCTTCTTGAGCCACTCCTTTGTTGCCTTGGCCGTGTGTTTGGGTTATTGTCATGCTAGGAATACCCATCCACGACCCATTTTCAATGCCCTGGCTGATGGAAGGAGGTTCTCACCCAAGATTTGACGGTACATGGCCCCGTCCATCGTCCCTTTGATGCGGTGAAGTTGTCCTGTCCTCTTAGCAGAAAAAACACCCCCAAAGCATAATGTTTCCACCTCCATGTTTGACGGTGGGGATGGTGTTCTTGGGGTCATAGGCAGCATTCCTCCTCCTCCAAACACGGCGAGTTGAGTTGATGCCAAAGAGCTCCATTTTAGTCTCATCTGACCACAACACTTTCACCCAGTTGTCCTCTGAATCATTCAGATGTTCATTGGCAAACTTCAGACGGGCATGTATATGTGCTTTCTTGAGCAGGGGGACCTTGCGGGCGCTGCAGGATTTCAGTCCTTCACGGCGTAGTGTGTTACCAATTGTTTTCTTGGTGATTATGTTCCCAGCTGCCTTGAGATCATTGATAAGATCCTCCCGTGTAGTTTTAGGCTGATTCCTCACCGTCCTCATGATCATTGCAACTCCACGAGGTGAGATCTTGCATTGAGCCCCAGGCCGAGGGAGATTGATAGTTCTTTTGTGTTTCTTCCATTTGCGAATAATCGCACCAACTGTTGTCACCTTCTCACCAAGCTGCTTGGCAATGGTCTTGTAGCCCATTCCAGCCTTGTGTAGGTCTACAATCTTGTCCCTGACATCGTTGGAGAGCTCTTTGGTCTTGGCCATGGTGGAGAGTTTGGAATATGATTGATTGCTTCTGTGGAAAGGTGTCTTTTATACAGGTAACAAAATGAGATTAGGAACACTCCCTTTAAGAGTGTGCGCCTAATCTCAGCTCGTTACCTGTATAAAAGACACCTGGGAGCCAGAAATCTTTCTGATTGAGAGGGGGTCAAATACTTATTTCCCTCATTAAAATGCAAATCAATTTATAACATTTTTGACATGCGTTTTTCTGGATTTTTTGTTGTTATTCTGTCTCTCACTGTTCAAATAAACCTACCATTAAATTATAGACTGATCATTTCTTTGTCAGTGGGCAAACGTACAAAATCAGCAGGGGATCAAATACTTGTTTTCCCTCACTGTAGGTGGCTTCTTTTTCAATTGGTGTGATGGCGTAGACAATGCTATGAAAAATACGTACGTTGCCTTGGGCAGGACAAGTCACTAAAACATGGTTGTCAAGATTCATGATGGAATGGTGGCAGCCAATGGTGGAGCATGCTTGAGATGACGTTCATTAACAGCCTGCTCCTTTGTTTGCCCTTGGCATATGTTGCCACAGACTTGAATACCACGCGTAAATGTAGGGTGACACGGTGGCTAGGAGAAGTTAACTACCTCGCGTGGTTTACAGGAGGTCGTGGGTTCGATCCCGACCCTGACGCTTGCTGTATATTTGGAGTTTGCATTTTCTCTCCGTGGTCACGTGGAATTTTTCTCCGGGTCCTCCGATTTTTCTCTCCACATTTAGAAGCATGCGTTTAAAGTATTTCGCTGCTATACATTTCCACATGATAAGCCACTTCGTTGAGCTATTGTTTGTGATGGCCAGGTCGCTTATGAAAAGAGTTACGTAGCTTAGTCCACCTTACTCGGTAAAATAAACATAGTTTGTAGGGTTTTTTTTCCAAAAGCATTTTATAAACAAAACGATTCAGGTACACAACAGAGTTTATGAAAGGGGGTTGACACCAACATAAACACATTACGGATTACAGTGCAATGAAAACTTGTCTAAACCGCATGTTTCAATAAACTATTTCAATAAACTCTACAACCCCCTGGTGTCTTCCTAAGCTCGGAGACCCCTGTCGGAAAACCAAAGGTAGGGGAGGGGGGCAGTGCCTAAACACCCCATGAATGCTCTTAAGAATTAATGCCCACTGGAGAGGTAGTGAAAGCATTCCATGTTTAGTGGTAATCTTCCTGTAATGAGAATAGGTTTTCCCCTTTTTCTGGCAACAAAACAGCTTTGTTAGAATGTTAAAACACCAAACTGAAACCTTTCACATGGAACCATGTCTGCATTAACCACAATGCTTGTGGTCAGAATTCAAACAAACAAACATCCTCTGATAATATATGCATTGTCTTTGAAACTGATTGGTCCACACCAGAGACAGCTTTCTTTTGAGCCTCGTCTCAAAACGGTGTTAGACCAGAGGACGCCTTTTGGCGTCCTCTGGTCTAACACAACATGGCAAAGGAGGTCCCATGAAGTAATCTTCCTCCCTCCTGCTTAGTTTGGCACGTAGATGCTCTAGAGCGGCAGTTTGTTTTACAATGTAATGGCCCCATCCTGCAGTGTTGGGGGAGTGTGCTATTTCCTGTTGGCTATAATTGGGCGTTTTGCCGTAACGTTGAAAATGTGGAAAAATGTATTTGCCTCCCTGGAAATGCCCTTGAGATTTTCACCCCCAACAGCGACGTTTCTGGTGAGGGTGAGATGCTTGTTTTTGTGAATGTGATTAAAGGAGCAAAGTGATCATTCGAAAATAAAAACTTGTTAATGCCTGGACATTCCAAAAAGGCATTGTCTGTATGTTTAAGGGGTGTTGGGGGGGGGCATTGTGGGCACTTGGGAGGGGATGTTGTTTCGTCGAATTTGGCTCTTCTTTGGTTCGTTAAGTAATAGTCATGGAGACATTTTACTTGGGGTTCTCTGAAGGGAACAGTTTATAAGTTAAAATCAGTCCCTGTTTGCTCACAGAACCGGTTTAGGAGGCTCAAGCTAACCACAAACAAAATCGCTTCTCTCCATAGCCACGAGCCCAGGGGGCAATTACAGTATGTGCCGGGGGATCGTTAGCGATCTGAAACCTGTCACGAAGTCGATAGCTACTTCTCTTATTGTGAACTTTATTAATGGATTGTTTGTACTAAGCTTGAAGCGTTTGGCCCAGGGATGAATTCAGCAACCTGCCGTTGATTTGAAGGTCACGGCTAACATCAGTGGCGATTGATGACTGAACCGGTCCTGGTAACCCCCTTCACCAACCCGCACAAGATGATCAAACGAATAAACGACATGCCTCTGTCAGCAAAAACTGTTCACGATCGTACCATAATGATGGCAAATCAAGTGGAGGAAACACAAGTGAAGGACATAAATGCAGCGCCATGCTTTTCCCTCGCTCTGGATGAGTCAACGGACGTGAGTCATTTATCCCAGTTCAGTGTGATTGCAAGGTATGCTGCCGGTGACACACTGCGTGAGGAAAGTCTTGCTGTTTTGCCAATGAAATATTATAAGAGTGTGTTTTTTGTTTGCATTTTGGCCACAAGTGTTTTGGTTAATGCACGCATGATTCCCCGTAAAAAGGTTTCAGTTTTGTTGCCAGAAAAAAGAGGAAAAACCCTATTATTATATTTTGGTACTGGCAAAGGAGGTATAATGATGGCCTCAGGTATTGAGGTCTTTATAAAGACTAGGAGAGGTCTGACAAAAGGGCTGATATCCGTTTTTGTCTCAGATTCATTTCCACTGCACACACACACACACACACTCCCATGACGATGTATTCGATGTTATCTCAAGCATTCAGATTCAGCATTGACTGTTGTTCGTCTGGGCGTTGCAGGGTTGCTGAGGAGCCTTGGGTGGAAAACTTCTCCAAGGAACTGGAGTCGCTCAGAGGGGCATCCTTGTGTTGAACGGAAGCACGACGGGAATGCAGCACCATCAGCACCATCAGCACAGCAACCCAGAGGGAGAGACTCACTGCTGCTCCTGCAGCTATCGCTGCATGTGCTTTGCCATTTGCAGATACATCTGAGCCTGGATAACAACAACACACACACACACATTTATTAAGAACACACGGAGAAGTACCGATGAAGAACATGTACATCATCCCTTGTTGTTATTAAACCACTGCCGTGTGAATGTAGAATCATCGTACCGCTGCAGACGGCGTCGCTGGCGTTCGTACACGGAGCCAGCTCTCGTTCACAGCTTCACAAAGACACAGACACACGCGCGCGCACGCACGGCCAACAGTTTCAGAATTTACCGTCACCACTAGGTGGCGAATTGGGATTTTTCGCTGCACTCTGTAGCCACATCGAGTGATAACGACTGGCGCAGTGATGGGGCAACCCCCACAGATAAGTTTTATTGTTATAGGTGCTGCCCCGTTCTAACTGTAGTCACTTCTGAAAGGGAAGTTAATGCCTCAGTAGGCTTTGCCTGGGTAGGGTGGGGACGGTTCAATTTAATTTTTTGATGCTTCTTGGTGATTTGTTTGCCTTCCCTGTACTTTTGCACTCCTGTCGTGTTTTTGAAGCTGTTTGTTGGAACGCTCTTGCCCCGTGGCCCCACGTCTGGACATCTGTGGAAAAAAAATAAGCTTCTCGGCTCATCGGATACCCTCCTCCGGTGTAAATAAAAAAAATATTTTGATTTAAAGCTTTCGTGACTGCAGTAATTCATATTCTTAGTTTTTTCGGTAAAGTCACGCTGAAGAGAAACAACAAAATAACAAAATATATATAAAACAATAAAAAATTCTCACGACGTTTCGACCATAACTCAAACGTCGTGAGAATTTTTTATTGTTTTATATATATTTTGTTATTTTGTTGTTTCTCTTCAGCGTGACTTTACCGAAAAAACTAAGAATATAAAAAAATATATTCTGAGTACGGGGAAAAAACGGGAGACGTCGCAAAAGAGGGGGGTTCTCCTCTGGACCCACCGTGTGCAGTTTCGGCAGCGAGACCCGGGCCGGTCACTGAATGTGCCTGGAGGACAGTCCGTGCACTTGGTGACGAAATCCGTATAGGAACCTGCAGGGCGGGTAGAGAACGGGGGACGGAGGTCAACTCGCATGATCATCCATTTGGGTTCATAAAACGAGAGGCGCTGCTTTTGTGAGAACTTCTACATCGATGGTCTTGTGCGCATTAAAAGGGAGTCCCACACGAGCCCCATCCTGGAAAGGGAACTCCATTCGACATCCACACGGACACTCCGCGGTGTTGCTTGAGCCTATTCAGCCTGGAGTCTCGAGCCGCTGTGGTTACTGTTGACCACGTGTGTGTGTGTTAACCACGTGTGTGTGTGTGTGTTAACCACGTGTGTGTGTATTAACCACGTGTGTGTGTGTTAACCACTTGTGTGTGTTAACCACTTGTGTATGTTAACCACGTGTGTGTGTTAACCACGTGTGTGTGTGTTAACCACGTGTGTGTTAACCACGTGTGTGTTAAAAACTTGTGTGTTAACCACTTGTGTGTGTTAACCACTTGTGTGTGTTAACCACGTGTGTGCGTGCTAACTAGGAGGTCATGGGATTGATCACGACACTGACGCCTGCTGCTGTATATTTGTAGTTTGATGGTTCTCTCTCCCCGTGGTCGCGTGAATTTTTCTCCGGTTCCTCCGGTTTTTCCCCTCCACATTTAGGAGCATGCGTTTAACAGTATTTGGCTGCCATACATTCCCACGTGATAAGCCAACTTCATTGGGCTATCATTTGTGGCCAGGTCGCTTCTTAAAAAGAGTTTCATAGCTCAGTTGGCCTTGCCCGGTAAATAAAAATAGTTTATCGTTAAAAAAAATTATGCTGCGGTTTTTTCCTTGGAGGAGTATCTTCGAATAACCGTGAGCCCTATTGACCTTGTACCGCATTCACGAGATGCTGTGGGTGCTGTTATGGTGAACCGATGAGAACGATGATGCAATTTGGTATCTCACACTCGTTCAGCATCTCCATGCCCGCTGGGCAGTTTGGACAACACCAGAAGAAGGTGCCACTGGCGGACAATTTCGTGATGTTTTGGTCCTTCCCGCAGCCGCACCTATGGGGAGTAAACCAAACGCGTGCAACCAGGAAGCCCTCAGTAGCGATCGGCTTAAGCAGCTGGCCATCATTTTTTCCCCCGTTTCCAATGCCCTAGGGGATTTACGCATCGGGGATTGCTGACATTTCTACAAGAACGTTAAAGGGCAGTGAGGACCACGCTTAAGCCTTCCGTTATTACGATGAGGTTTTTTTTTTTTAAAATAAAAATATCGTTCCAATGTTATCGAGGCGAGAGCTCACACGTGACCAGGGTAGAGCCTCAGGCTCCAACCTAAAATGAACCTCACCACGGAACATGTTTTTAGACTGAGGGCATCGCTAAGGTCACTGAGGTCCTGGAGCTCTTCTCTGAGAATCTCCTGGACTTGGAGCGCAGCAGATCCTAAAGCCTCATCTCCCACCAATGCCATGCAGGAGTACAATCGATTTCACTCGTGAGTAGAGTGCAAAATACTCTAGCCCCCATGGAGCCTTTCAACCAAGGCCGTAGCCATGGAGTCAACATTTGGGGGGACCAAATCTTCCGGGGGGTCCCCACCCCCCCCCCGCCAGAAAAAAATCTAAATTTGAAAACGAATTTCCTGCCTAAAATATTTAAAAAAAATTCACTAACACATAGGATGGAGTTTTTTTGTAAAATAATGTTTAATAATGTATTGTATTACATTGCTCTGTTTTTAATTTTTTTTACCTTTTCTTGTTTCATTGTATGTAATGGCAGAGATTAGGGATTAATAAAGTACAACCATAACCACAATCATATAAACAGATATCTATTTTAGAGTAATATATTGGGGTGACATTTTGAGCATATTTGAATAATGAGGGGGGGGATGTGTCCACTCCCCCACCCCCCCCAATATATATTACAATTACGGCCTTGCTTTCAACATATGGTTAGCGAGCACCTACGAAGGCTGGTACGACACACGATAGCTGCACACAAAAAAACGCACTTTTTCACACACACACACGAAAATATTCACACCCAATAATTTATTATCCTACACGTACCTCGCATTGCGAGTAGGAATGCAGTCCTCGATTTTCACCTGGTTACATGCTGCAAAAACCACACAAACAGGTAATGTTTTTCGATTATTTTTTTCTCTCGCTTAATCGGCATGCGCGGCAGATGAATTTATATTCCGAGTTTAAGATCATGCTGGTAAAATGTAAATTAGAGGTATGCACTATCCACCTAGTGGACACAGCCATAAGGAGCATATTGTCACCTGGACAGATGTGCCAATTGATTTATATTCCTATCAAACTGATTACGTTGACAATATGGACAAGTTGCTGGTGAAATTTCGATGTAAAGCTTTCGTGACTGCAAGGAGTCATCTTCTTTGGTTCTTTCGGTAAAGTCACCACGTAGAATGAGAATAAAATAATAAAATAACACGATAAAATTCTCACGACGTTTCGGCCACAACGCAAGCGGCCGTCTTCAGGTGAAAGGTACAGACAGGTCGTTCACCTGAAGACGGCCGCTTGCGTTGTGGCCGAAACGTCGTGAGAATTTTATTGTGTTATTTTATTCTTTTATTCTCATTCTACGTGACTTTACCGAAAGAACCAAAGAATAAGTTGCTGGTGGTTCCAGAACACTGTGCGTCAATCAGGAAAGGGCACACGATTGGTTTTGATAACGTTATGGTCTGTGTTATTATAGTCATTGGCAATGATTAAGGAAAAAATGTTAAATTGCAAAAATTAAAAAAAAAACTTCAACTGGGCCGAAAGTTGTCGACTTAGTAGACTGCCTGGAAAGGAATTAAATCTTATCACAATAATTAAAACGAATCAAAACATCAATTAACTTTAGCCGTTCAAATTAGATAAATTGATTCGATTACAATGTAACAACGAAGTCTGTTTAATGAACCGTAATCGTTAAGTAATCCTCATTATGCTAATTTAAGTAATCTCACAATAAGCAATGCGTAACTGAAATAAGTTATTGTTGTAGTGTTTAATATATTAAACTAGTGTGATTGCCCGTCATATAACGGGTTAATAACATTTTTATTGAACTAAAAACACTAAAATTTGAAGATTGTATTGAATTTATTTAATTAAAAAATGTCTATAAGTCACATTTGGTAAAGAACAAATACTCCATTTACAAAAATGTTTATAATAATCCACGTAGCCTACACAGCGTCACACACAGCATACAGAGTGTCAGGCGTTAGAAACAGGTCACCAAAACTAAATGTATAATGCGTCAACACTGTTGAATGTCAGGAATGATATTGTTATTTATATTGAATCGTGGGCAGATAGAGACACCAATATCAGATTGACAGCAGTGATCTTGCTAAGCAGTGAGGGAGTGAGAAACGGCCTTAAATAAAAGTGTTACTTCTTGTGTACAGGACCTGAGGGTTCCAGCTGAAATCCCAGATTATTAGAAACCCACCTCCACGAAGTCCATTGTTGTGCGCCCATTGACATCCGAATTCACTGATTTTTTTTATAAAAAAATGTTTTACGTGCAGCCACCGAACTGGACGCACGCTCTCCAGTTCGGGAGTGCAACACGTTCACGCAATGTTTGAGCACTGGCTAATGCCTGACGATGCTGGGTGTACTCTCAGTCGAAGCGTCGTACAAACGTCACATTTTTACTTGTTTTTTTAATGCAACCAGTTTGCCGAGAAACAAACCATTGGCACATTTCCCCAGGTGACAACTTGATTTTATTCGGCTGTGTTGGCGAAGGGTGCATCGCTATATCCTCATTGAAATTCCCACACAATATGACCCCAAAATATAAAGGCGTTTCATAATAGAGGTCGCAAAAAGCCTTCGCGGGTTAAATTAGCGTGGGCCTTCATTTACGACATTCTCTCCAACGTGCTACCCTCCGCTGTGTTAAAACGTGGATGGACAGTGAAATTCACCTTGAACGCAGCGTGTGCAGTACGAGCACATGGGGTTGGTGTTGTACTCAGAGGTGTAGGATCCCTCAGGGCAGGGCTGGCAGCGAGTCGGCGTGTCCACTGTGCACCAGGCGGATCTAAAGGATCCTGTCACCCAATCAAAAGAGCCTCGTCAAATTAAGTCCGTGATCACCTCCGCTGGTTATCGTTACAGCTCGGTACACTGTGGTTGGTCACTCTCGATGATTGTTTGCACGAGTTTCAAGGTAGGGATACCCTTTTTCACTGGAGCCTGCATAGAAGGAGCGTAATTCCTTGAAAGCTTCAATGTCCAAAGCGTAAAAATGCAATCACATCACAATTAGCTGTACAGGAATAAGATAACAAACTGCATTAGGGCCTCAACACATCTGGCTGTGTCTATGTCGAGGTTGCATTAGCGTAATGACGACTTGACACACTTCTCTTGAGATGGCACTTTATTGAAGACACGTTCACTTGACATCAGGCAGAGATCCCACTGCAACAGCCCCGAGTCTCCCCCGCATCTCCCCCTTTTATATCAACACGAGGCCACGCCCACCCTCTCGATCACCCTCGCTGACTCTGGACGCTCCCTCTACCGGCAGACTCTACCGTCCCCTTCCGTTACCTGACCACGCTCCCTTCTCGAACATTCCCGTAGCCACCAGTCCCTTCGCACTCACAACCGATACGCCTGTCATTACCTCCCGTGGCCACTAGTGCACTCGTACTGTACGCTGACTTCCCTGTCATTACCTCGCGTGGCCACTAGTGCACTCGTACTGTACGCTGACTTCCCTGTCATTACCTCGCGTGGCCACTAGTCCCCTCACACCGCGTGCAAGCACTATTGCCACTACATTTGTTTGGACAGGCAATGCTTCTGGCGTTTTCTTTGGAGTCCACCGATTAGACTCGGACCAAGGATGCGAGAACACCATCGCGAAAGTACCGGACCCAGAAGCATCAACCCTGTGACTGTCAAGAGACGGCTATCGCTGTTTGCCCGACTGCGATGCGTAAAGGCGGTGCGTTGAAGGAGCGAGATTAGCCGGCGACTGTAAACGTTCATCCTGGGTGCGCCACATCTGGCCCCATCGCCTCTGGCTGCCAACATCGAGAATGGCCCCGCTGCCCTAGAGGCAATGAATGCGAATGCCCAGCTGGGATGGAGGGCATCAAAAAAAAGATTTCCGGACAAGTTCAATAGTAGTAGACTTTAAGTGAAGATTTAGTAGTAGACCGTTTTAGGGGGCAGGGGGGCATGGCAAGACATAGACCCATGAGAGATCTACGAGTGGAAAACACCGCGGCGAAGCCCAGGATGAAACAGATTATGCTCTGAAGCTGTTGCCCGTTGATGTTATGCGATGCCTGTCTGGTCGGTAATATGACAGGGTTGTTGTGCGTAACAGTTTCAGAAGGAAAATAAATGTCGTCTGAGGGCACGCACATCTTCCCGATGAAGGCAAGTTTAAACGAATGGGAGGAAGAAAATCTCCAACAAAGAGGGCCACAGATGAAAGTATCTTGCGTGCTTTTTTTATGGAGCCGCAGTTCGTCTGCAGACGATTTGAACGACAAAAGTGAGCGAATCAATGGGAGCAAAAGAGAACAGGGAATCCCGGAGCAAAGATGATTCTGGAGGCACCATCCACACGTTCTATTGATCTGCTTTACGTCTTGCAGCAGTGTTGTTCTCCACACACCATTGTTATTTAAATCGTCTAGAACAGCGGTCCCCAACCTTTTTGGCAACAGGGAACGGTTTTGTGGATGACAATTTTTTCACGGACCCGGGGAGGGGGTGGGGGGAGTTCATCATTGGGTCTCTCCCCCTTTTCAAAGAAGTTTTCCGGCGACGTTTGTGTTCGTTACTCATTGTGGCTACTAGGGGGTTAGAGCTCGTGGGCAACACCACGTGACTGAGACGAGTGCGCAGTGCGGGAAAGAGGCGCGGATGGAAGCGGTAAATAATAAAATAATGGGCGGGCCATACGCGGACTCACCGCTCACCACCTCCTGCTGTGCGGCCCGGTTACTAACAGGCCACGGACCGGTACCGGTCCGCGGCCCAGGGGTTGGGGACCCCTTTTCTAGAAGAGGAATACAGCAACACTAATTGTTGAGGAAGAGACACCGATGAAGAGGGGGAATGTCAGAAGCATTGAGGTGTACAGGGCCGACGGTAGAGTTGTTTGATGGACTGTCTTTTGTGAGGCCGTGTACCGGGAAGTTTCTGGAACATGTGAAGGTTTAAATAAAATACTGACAAAATACAATCGATATTTTAAGTGTGTTAAATCTGAGAGAGATATATGGAGTAGGAAGAGAGGGGGTAGAGAGAGAGGGGGGGGGCAGAGAGGGGGGTAGAGAGAGAGGGAAGGGGTAAGGAGAGCAGAGCGATACATCTTTTGTTAATTCTTTCATTTAAAAAAGGGGGGGGGGGGTTTACATAAAGCAAAGCATAAACAAAAAACCGAAATGATGAACGAAGCAAAGTGCCGACTACACCGAGCATCTTCTTGTTTCCTCTGATCGTAAAAATAAAAAATATAAAAAAGAGAGAGAGATAGAGGGATGTACACCACAGTGAATGGTGGTGTAACGTCAATGTTTGGCTTTGTCTCTGCAATCATTTTGGGCCGCTCACCGGGAGGACACTTATCACAACAGTGCCCATCCATTGGATATTGCGTGAAGGGATTGCAAAATCCATCCGATGCTTGCACGGCCCCCAACGAGATTCCCAGCAGCACCTGGTGTGAGAGCACGCGTGGCACACAGACGTGAACACACACAGCATCAGCATCTTTATTTATCCCGGAGGAAATCCGATGAGCTGAGAAGTTCTTTTTTTTCCCCACAGACTTCCATTCCCTCCACCTGCCGAAGTCGACGTCGCTAACAAAGTTACAAATAGACCGAGGCAGTTACTTCGGTGTGAATGTGGACGAGGATGGCTGGCCGATGGCCGAGATTTCACGTCGAATGTGAGAGAACAGCCGAAGGAAAGAACAAACACGCTCGAGAGAACGTCCATCAACGGTGGACATGGAGCGATGAAAGCAGCTCATGTCGGGGTATCACGCGGATCATTGTTGAATCGCGTGACCCTGCAACATTTGGATGGATGCGGGAGGCCTTTATCCAGTTGTGGATCGATCACAGACGAAGATGGCGATTATAAGACGACAACGTGAATGTGGTTGTCTCCTTTAGGCTGCCCCTTCGTCTCGACCCTCGGCTATATTAGAATGATGGTCGAATACTCACAGCACTGTGCACGGCCAGCATCATCATCTGGGCGAGATGATGTTATATCGGGGGATGCTGTTAGGGCCGTAGCGGTAGATCCCCGAGATGCTTTTCTCAGTGTGCGATGAATCTAAAAAAACAAACATATCAATGTTATTACACTGGAATTTTGATTGGTGTGTTTGCCGTGCTACGTGGTGGTCGGCAAAGGCCCCATTGCAGCAATCTCCAATGTTGTACCGCACTCATTGCTCACACATCAATGTTGTCCACTTTTACCAGTGAGCATCGACACTCACGACCTGCACGCCGTGGGGAGGCCATCATTCAGGAGTTAAAGAGCTCGTAAAGCCCGGACCAAGCAGATTAATTTGCCGTCCTGATTGTTGTTGCTTAATTGTTAGACATTCTATTGCAATGTTGTGGCGTTGACAACTCAAGCATTTTGCTGCATCCGCTATAACATCAGCTGTACTGTGTATGCGACCAGTACACTTTGATTGATTTAACATGTGGAGCCCTGGCCTGCAAAACGAATAAATTCAATGCTCGATCGCTGCTCGATCACACAGACGATCGATTTGTGGATTGAAACGAGCCAATTTTTTGGCTGTTAGCCCGCCCATACTACAACTTTTGGCATCCCTGGGCATGAGCATAATGTGCTCATCAAAAAACACAGTGAAGTTAAAGTTTTGCACCTGCCATGGGGCCATCCATTTAGCACGTACGCAAAAAATCTGTCAAAATTTTACCCCTCCCCCCCTCCCTGTAGGCACGCGTACCTTTTACACTCCCACCTGCGTACATACTCTTGACGCCCCCTCCCCGCCCCGAATCCTATACAACGGCAGATATTGAATCCACGCAGAAACTATCAAGGATGAATAATATTAACGTGTTTAAGCAAACAGATTGTCAACCGCCGGACTATCTACCTCATTTGAAGGCCAATGTAGACAAATTATTATTGAGGCTTCACCCCCCCCCCCCTTCCTTTCCTATGTGTACATTGTCAGTAGGCCCCCCATACGCAATCGTACGCATTTTGGTTAACCCCCCCTCACCCCTCCATGCATACGTACTAAATGGATGGCCCCCATTCCTATGAAACGTACGTTGCGTGGCCCTGGGATTACAATACGTGCCAGGGGGGCATTCGCAAAGTGAACCCCATCACAAAGTCGATAGCGACTTCTCTTATTGTCAACTTGATTATTAACGGCTTGTTTGTACAAAGCTTCAAGCGGTCTGCCCAGTGAGTGCTCATGAATTTAGCAACTTCAATTTGATTGAAGGTCAAGGCTAATATCAGTGGCGAGTAATAACTGAACGGGTCCTGGTAACCCACTTCACCAACCCCCATTGCGTATGGTCATGCAAGGCGTTAATCTCAGCAGTGGATTGAGAATGTATCCGTATATCAGTCGTGCATTGACAATTGATGACTCAGTCTGTCAAATCGACTGCTTCGTTCTTGTACATTTTCAGGCAAAAAAAATGTTTCTGGGAGGATCGGGTGTAGCGGTCACAGACGCCAGGATTCAGTTCTCTACTCGCATCTATAGAGCCTCGGCATCATACTTTTTTTTAATACAACGTGCAAAAACACAGTCAGGTCCTGCAGTGTTTATATCAGGGCTCTAAGACAACATTCGACCACTGATGAGTCGTGTAGCGATGTTTCGACAGGAGTCAATTACTTTACGGGATGTCTGGCAAGAGCATTAGCAAGCTGCAGCCAGTACGACATTCGTTTGGCACGACGTGTCGCGACCAATTACGGCAAGACCTGACACCGTGTCCGTCTGGTGCTCGCCGAGCTGCATTAGCTTCCAGTTGCCAAACGAGTACATTGTTGTAAGGTTGCACGGACTACACACACACACACACACAACGCGCGCTTACCACAAATGAACCACGACACATTGCTGATCTCCTCAAGGAGCATAAACCATTATCACGCGAACTCTGGTTTTAGTTTGTTGTCCTTCCCCCGAACCTCTGATTAGAGCAGTTGGCCACGTACGGTGCGAAAGAAGTTCAACATTCATGCGCGCAACCCCTTCGTGGAAGATCTCCTGCCTAAGCCTCAGGGGCGGCCCTAGACGAGTTGCCAGCAACTGGCGCCCTAGGGCAAACCCTGCGATCTCCTATTTTCAGTTTAATGTTTTTTTAAGCGTATTTGTTTTAACACACGGGCATAATTATCGGGTTTTTTCCGTTCGTCCTTCCGTCATCTGTCCGACCAATACATTCTCATAAACGTTGAGAGTTGAATTATAATTCACATTCCCACTGTATGCGCACGGGGAATTGAAATACTGACACTTTCGTTATTTGAATTTGTATTTTCCCCTCGAATTTCGCGCCCCCCACTGAACCTGGCGCTCTCGTTCCCCTATGAGGAAGGTCTGCCCTTGCATCTAGAGTCTCATCAGCATAGTGAGTCGTGCTTGCACCAATGCCATATGGTGTAAAGGAAAGCCACGTGGATTTCACGTTACTTTATTCGTGTCCCAGTGACATTTGCTGGCCAACCTTCAATCAACAACATCAATTACTATACCACCGGTCCACCACCTGTCAAATTAATAGTTCACACCTCACCGCGGTGGCGAGATGTTCAATCCCTCACCTGATTTATAGAAGGTCGCGGTATCGGTGCAAACTCTGACGCCATCGTTATATTTGGAGTGTGAATCTCTCTGTCCCCGCGGCCACGCCGATTTGTCAGTCGACATTCCGGTCCTCCGCTGCACACACTGAATCGACATCACGCGTTCAGAGTGTGTGTCTGCTGTGAGTGTCCGCACGAGAAGCCACTTCAATTGAACTATAGTTTGTGATAGCCAGGTCGCTTCTGCAGAAGAGCTATACAGCTCAGTGGGATCTTACCGTGTCAAATAAGAAACAGCAAAGATACGTGTTTGGTCAAGTAGTTCAGTACTTTTCGATTTAAAGCTTTCGTGACTGCAATGATTAATCTTCTTTGGTTCTTTCGGTAAAGTCACGTAGAATGATAATAAAATAATAAATTGATAAAATAAAATAACACAATAATATTCTCACGACGTTTCGGCCACAACACAAGCGGCCTTCATCAGGTGAAGGGGGCGAGACTGTCTGGTAGGACAGCGCTGTCCTCCGAAACGTCGTGAGAATATTATTGTGTTATTTTATTTTATCAATTTATTATTTTATTATCATTCTACGTGACTTTACCGAAAGAACCAAAGAAGGTAGTTCAGTACTATAAAAGCACGGCAGTCAATGGTCGATCTTACCTGAAGCAGGTGTGCGAAACATTTCTCACTGTTCACCACTCGCATGCAGAGTCAGAAATGAATCACGAAGAAGCGGCGACGTCACCACGGCGCTTGTGCCAGGCTAGGTGCACTTTGAGGCCACGTGAAGCGTCGAGGGATCGCCGACAGGAGGTCACGCGACAGACCCCAGATGTTGTGAGTTGACTTGACTCGGAAGACTGGCAGATTCACCACCCGTGCCTAGCTACTGACTTACAACAATGACGTCGGGTCTAAGCTACGAGAGGACGCGTCGCACGCAGCGCTTTATGAATCTTGCGAGTCTGCGGGGTTTTAGCCAAGTGCCTAAGCAACTGTAGGGCCACACTAGCTCGTCGATGCTTTTATCTAGAGACGTGTTGATGACGGGAACGGAAAAAATTCACATTCCGAGATAATTGGAGCTGGTGCAAACTCGATAGGCCCTTATTTGTGTACATTCTGTCGCACCATGACCAAGCATGCGATTGATGATGGTTATCTGAAGCAAAGCGGAATTGAGTGAAGATCAGGTAGAGTCATGGAGGCTTCGTGCGTGGGGGACAAGACTAAACTGGATGCATAGGTGGGGTGGGTGTGTAGGTGAGTGAGTGGGGTGGTTAAGTGGATAGGTAGGTGGGTGGGTGAGTAGGTGAGTGTGTGGATAGGTGAGTGAATGGGTGGGTGCGAAACGTGGACCCCCCTAATGGAACATCTTCGCCGGTTAGAAACATTTAGGCTGACCTGCCTACGATCCATCCTGGGTTTAACCAGACTGGATTGTGTGAGGAGCTCACAAATCCTTGAAAGATCTGGGCAGGGTCCCATCGGTGAGCTCCTCCGGCAGGCAAGGCTGCGATGGCTGGGTCATGTAGCCCGCATGCCCAGCCACCGCATGCCGAAACAGCTTTTGTTTGGCCGGATTGAGGGGGCTAAGCGGGCGCGGCACGGGCTAGAGAAGAGATGGAGTGATGTGGTACAGGAGGACGTGGAGCTGAGTGGACTTGCCGATGACTGGTACCAGCGGTGTCAAGATCGGCCTCTGTGGAGGAGGCTCGTGAAGGATGCTACTGGGCAGTTGGAGGCAGTCGCCCTCCAACAACAACGGAGGGCCGGGTGGCTAAAGCACAGCAGGTTGGCACAGTAGGGGGCACAGGTGGTGCATCAGCCAGTCATCTCAGTCAGTCGACCCGTGGCACCTGGGTCTGCCCCGTGACCTCCTGCCAGCGGGCGTTCGACACATCACGTGGCCTCAGGGTGCACATAGCCTGGCACAAGCGTCGTGGTGACGTCACCGCCACTTAGTGGCGAATGGCGGTTGTTGTTGTTGTTGGATAGGTGAGTGGGTGGGTGAGTAGGTGAGTGTGTTGATAGGTGAGTGAGTGGGTGGGTGAGTGGGTGAGTGGATAGGTGAGTGGGTGGGTGAGTAGGTGAGTGGATAAGTGAGTGAGTGGGTGGGTGAGTGGGTGAGTGGATAGGTGAGTGGGTGGGTGAGTAGGTGAGTGGATAGGTGAGTGGGTGGGTGAGTAGGTGAGTGTGTGGATAGGTGATTGAGTGGTTGGGTGAGTGGGTGAGTGGGTTGGTGAGTGGGTGGGTGAGTGGGTGAGTGGATAGGTGAGTGGGTGGGTGAGTAGGTGAGTGTGTGGACAGGTGAGTGAGTGGGTGGGTGAGTGGGTGAGTGGGTGGGTGAGTGGGTGGGTGAGTCGGTGAGTGGGTGGGTGGATAACAGGGACGTGCGGTCAGGTGAGGCAGAGCCTCACCTGTCATTCTCCAATGAAAATAGCTGTTACGAAAAGTAAAAAATAAAAATTAAGATTTTTTTTTCCCCACTTATCTGTGCTATGTCATTTCTGTATGCTTATAATCATTTGGAATCATACAGATGTGAAGTTCCTTCTATCTTGATGCTGGTGGTGTAGGTGGCTTCTTTTTCAGTTTCAGTGGGAAGTCGTAGAACTCTGCGATGGTCCTCTTCAATATATAGCCAAGACATATTTCGGGTGGTAGTGGCTCGTTGTGAGGTTGTATCCTTGGATGTGGTAGCGGCCGGAATGTAGGAGACAATCAAGACGTGGGTTTCTTGGAGCGCCAGGACACCAATGTTACGTGGGTGTTCATTACATTACTCCTCGCACTTCGCCCGGGAGAGTCCCTCAATGATCAGTTGGGGAGGATCCTTGTCTCAGAGCCTCTCTGGCGCATTATTTGGCCCTGATGAGGCCCGTTGGGGTGGCTTGTATTGTCGCTCTGGAGATCGGGAGATCGATGATCGGTGTCCGGTCGCCGCAGTGATGGCATTCGTCGTGATTTGTCGCTGAATAGAGTGGGCTGCGTGTCTTCCACTCCCTCTGTGACTTAAGCGACCGACTAGGAACGTATGGCGTCAGTGATGCTTGGGCGCCGCGGTGGCGAGATGTTAACTCCCTCGCCTGATATGCACGGCGTCCGTGTCGGTGATCGAACGCACGACCTCCTGCATACCGGGCGAGGGAGTTAACATCTCGCCACTGTGGCTCCCAGTGGCCTACAAGGCACTTGAGTGGGTTAGCCCCGCGATATCTGCAGGAACCGGTCCGTGTTTACTCCCCGACGCGGCCGCTGAGATCTTCGACATCGTCGGCTCGCCCTCTTCTCAGGACTCCGAGGTCAAGGTTGCAGAACGAACATATTATGAAGGTCGCGCTCATTACGCACACAAAGTGCTCGCCACGTATGAACCACAATACGTCCTTGCTGATCTCGTCAAGGAGGATAAACCTTCATCACGCAAACTCCGGTCATCATCCTCACAGCTTTGTCTCAGCCACCGCAGAAAGAGGGCAGTCACCTCGTCGCCCGTGTTCAGATGCACTTCTGTGTGTTTAGTTTGTGGTCCTCCTCCCGCCGCACCTCCGATTAGCACGGTTGGCTGCGTACCGTGCGAAGGAAGTTAAACATTCATACAAGGCTATGTTCTTGGGGTGAGATGCAGCACTGCAAATCGCCCAGACTGTGTAACAACAGTTTTCCTTTGTCAATAAGACAATTGGAGTCGTTATCTATATCTGAGCCTGTGTTGGAAGCTCGCCTCTTAAAACTGTCCTTTACCCCCCTTGTTGCTGGACGTTTACCCTGCAGGTTCTGTTTACCTCCTGGTTTTCTATACACAGCACGCATTGGTGGTTGGGATCTATGGATGAAATGCACCTCTTTACAAATGTCAATGATAATAGGTATAGGACACATCCAAGCAGACGTTGCGAGAGCTGAAATAGCTACTATTCTTAATAATGTTAAGAAGCCCGTTAAAAATATCAGCAAAGATGAACGCTCTGAACTCGCGAAATTGAAAGAGGGACATGATATAGTCATCCTCTCAGCCGACAAGGGCAATGCCACTGTAATTATGGATAAAAACTCATACAACAATACAATTCAGGACCTACTCAATGATGACAGTTACTCAAAAATCAAAAATGACTCTACTAATAGCCTAACTATAAAAACCAACAAGATCATCACAAGTTCGACCTCCCTAATCGAACCAACTTAACGTCCCTCCCTAAAACCTTCTGCTGCAAGACCACCTAGATTATTTGGTCTTCCAAAGATTCATAAGGAAGGCACCCCACTACGACCCATCGTATCCACGATCAACTCCCTTACCTATAGACTGGCCCGTTTTCTGTTGGATACCTTGCTACCTTTCACTGGCAAGACCTCCTCAGCAGTACTTAACTCGGCCCAATTGGTTTCTATGGTCAAGGACGTTGAACTGTCCCCTGACGATATCCTTGTCAGCTTCGATGTGGTCTCCTTGTTCACCAAGGTCCCGGTACCTGATACCATTGATATAATTGAAAATTTGGTACAACATGGACTAAACCCCGAGGTACCTACTCTGGTCAGGCACTGCCTCATCAATAACTACTTTACTTGGAATGGTTCCTTCTACAAGCAAAATGAGGGTACTCCCATGGGTTCCTCCTTGTCACCAGTGATAGCCAATGTTTTCATGGAGAAATTTGAATCGGACGCCATCCAGACTTCCATCCTCAGACCTTCCCTGTGGAAGAGATATGTGGATGACACCTTCCTCATTTGGTCACAGGGCCTCCCAGCTCTGAACCTTTTCCTACACCACATCAATTCCAGACATCCCGCCATCAAATTCACCATGGAAGTGGAGAAGGATGGCAGGCTACCATTCTTGGATGTTCTGTTTGAGAGGAGACCTGATGGCTCGTTGGGGCATTCTGTCTACAGGAAACCCACCCACACGGATTCCTACTTGAAGCCTGATTCCCACCACCACCCAGCTCAGAAGAATTATCTCATCAAAACTTTATACCACAGGGCTTATTGCATTTCGGACCAACACCATCTGACCAGTAAATTAAAACATGTACACCTGGCCCTCAAAAGGAATGGATACTCTGACCGTACCATCCACCAAGCTGTTTCTCCCTC